GTGGGCGGATGAGCAGCCAGGGAAACAGGTGTGCGAGTGGGCGCGCGGCTGGCGGGCAGCGGTTTGTGCCGGCCGGGGAAGCGAGGAAGTGAGCGACCGTGGGAAAGGAGGCGTGTGCTGACTGGGAGGTATTGCATATTTTTTGAGAATGCGGTTTGGAGGGAAAATAATAGTTCGAGAAATATTTACAGTGACTCAGCGTTTAAGTGAACATCGTCTACAAAAGACCAAGCCGTGTCTCTTTGGCCATAGTATCAAATTTTCTGCACGTTTTTCATGCCTGTGTGTCAGGCATCACATCTCGTCTGATTTACTGCCTTAAAGTAATTGAAGTAATTGCGTGCAATGATTAATATTTCAAATTGTGTCAAGCAAGGAGAACAAGAAATAGATCAGTGAGTGTTGTAGAAACATTCATACACATTAAGACCCATTATAAAAATTAACAATACATTTTTTTTCAATCGTATAGTAAAAATGCCGCTCTTAATAGCATAAAAAACTGATAAATTGTATACGTTGATATAATAAAAGAAAAACATAAAATTGAAAGGAATATTTTTGTTTATATCCACAACTAGCGAAGTGCCATTTGAAGATTGAAGTTTTCTACAGGGAATAATGAACAAATTTATTCTGTATACAGCCATTATGTACAGCATAGGATTCAACTTCATGACTCAATTGATGTCACTTCTTGCGTGGCTTCTTGTGTGCCTTCGTGCTTCACTTTGTGGATCCGATTTTTTTAACTCGAGTATTTGTTTGTTTGTTTTTTTCAATTCAGTGAGGGTAATAAAATATTGTATGCACAAATTGAACAATCATTGATAAACGAATAATTAAATTTTACTGCCCTAGAATGTAAGTTATTGCACTGACTTTACCTGACTCCGGCGGTTGAGATCGGTCACGCAGGCATGCAATGAGGGTTTTGATCGGAAGGATTGCGGGTTCGCGAACCACATGGGTATGGTTCTTTGCCTATGTGTTTTCTCATCCACCTTCCATCACCTTTCAAAAGAGTACCCTTTCTAAGCGGGGTTTCGTGGAAATCAAGGACACGTTAGACCTGGGAGGCGTCATTGTTTGATACCCCGGAAGAATGCGTGGCATGAGGAGCATTCTGAGTACCTCATGAAGCGTACCTCAATTTTGCCCTACTCCCGTCCTCTAACCATTGAATGGTGTGGGTGCGCGCAGGCGCGATCTGCAGGAGTGCGCGAATAAGGAACTGTCTTCCTACACCCCAAATAATGGCACACGTTACGAAATGGGCCCACGGCTACCTCGAGGATACTTGTCAGGTGCAAGACCAAGCTGGGCTGCATAGGGCTGCCGCGCCGTGATGCTCACCACGCACGAGGAGGCTCATCTCTAGGAAATGCTCGCAGGAGAACAGTGGGAATCGTGTGAGGCCCTGGAAAGTCCTCCAGGCGCTGATGGCAGCTCGGAAGCGGGAACTGGAAGGAAGCACCCGCCGAAAATAACGAGTGGTGCTAAAAAACACATATTTGTCGCATTATTTCTAATTTTCATATTCTGCTACATTATACTACTACATTAACCTGCAAAAGTGTGTTTTAACCAGCACACATGTATTCCGCTTCGAAACGCGAATTCAGATCCTCAGAGTTTAACCTGTCGACACTCATACCACTATTTACTAGGCTGTCCGGGTGACGCCGCGTCCATGGCGAAGGTGCCGACGTTTTAGTCGCCATTCTGCGACCTTCCTCAGGGCGTATTGCCTACTACCACTAGGCCACAAAAACCCCGTATAGGGCAAACTAGGGCAAACGGATAAAAACGTAAATGTTCGCTTCATGCAAAAAAAACGAAAAAACAAAATATACGTTTGAAACTCGAGACTTTGGTAATTCCTTCAGATCGATCGCAGAATATCAATTATGGAGAAAATCTTCCGAACGGCTGAGGCGCTAGCCTTGACCACAGACGAACAGTCAGACGATTTGAAATCAAAAATTCGCCGTTTTCCGGCGCACGATTACATAACTTTCTCTTCTTACGACGTACCTTCGTAAAGGCGAGAAAATAAACAGGAAAAGCAATCAATATTGGCCCAATAAGCGGATAAAGCCGGCGGAAGGCACCTGGCTGATACGTTGCCAAGGCGCAGTCGGCAGGCGCTTCGTCAGGCCTTGCGCTCTGCGTCCGCGGGGCCCCGGCCGGGTCGGGAGCGCAGGTGGGCCCGCGGGCGTTGAAAGCATGACGTGCGCGTGCGTGCCTGCGGAGGGCGAGCGGCGCGCCAGCCGTGTCACCGGGTCAGTGTACTTCGAGAGCAAGACGCGTGCGGCGCGGCAGGCATACTCGCGGCGGCGGATGCGGCGGCGGCGGCGACGCACCTGGCAAGTTGATGGGCGCTGCCCCCTCCCCTCCCTGCCGCACTCAGGTCCGCTCCACCTGGACTCCCGCCCGGGTTTCGATTTCCACGCGCCGACACACTTTCCGTGGCGGACCGGACTCGCTGCGCGCTTTTATGTCACTGCCTGCTACTGGCACGCGCACGCGTGACATCATCGCCGATGCCTTCGTAATCTGGTTCTGCAATGGCCGTTCCTCTGTTTTCAAGAGAACAAATTCAACGGTAACTCGCGGAGGAAAGTAAACGTTGAAACAAAAGTACAAATAAAAGTGGAAGCCGTTCAGCACTGCAATATTAAAATGGAGAGGTGGCGCGTCAGATACTGTGCTGCAATATTTTATAGAACAAACTAATGAAAATTGTGCATCACATTTCAGGTTATTTCACGAGAAATATTGCTTTATCAATTTTATTTTTTCAATGAAAAGCTAAAATGTTCTGTACTGTCACTTCATGTTATCAAAACTTTTTATTCAAGATTATATAAACCAATCAGAGAGGATATCTCAATTTATTGTTAAACAAAAAAGTATTTCAGATTTAATTTAAATGTAACACCGCTACAATATAACGTCGCTTTTTTGATGATATACTTAATTAAAAATAATTTGGCAGTTTTATTCGTTTCATACAGCCATGACATGAATAAAAACCAACAGGAATCAAAAGCTTTTCACAATTTCACTATTCTGTGAAACTTGTTATAAAAGAATAAACTGTTATAAATTAGATCATTACTCACAATTATATCAATGAACTAGCAGGCTTAATCTATGAGATCATTGCGAGTCCAGTGGACTAATTTTGGAGAAGTGCTCCACGCGACCATCTCAGATATTGATGAAATTTTGAATGTCGAACCCCACGTGTTGCAAAGTGTGTTGCTTTTGTGAAAATTTAGTTTCATAGGTAAATTAGATCTTTCATATTACAAGAAAAGCTATATTCGTATTAAATTATTAAACACCCGCTTTCTTTCTTTCAATTCTTAAAATGTTAATTCAATTTTCTAAAATTTAAAATTATTAGTAATATATTTATTCTAATGTCGTTTTTTGACTCACGCTTTAATGTTTTTTTTCTTGTACTAAATAACTGATGATCACTAAGCCATCGAAAGATGTACTTATAATAAACAATATTGTTTGCAATGACGATTCATAGAATTATTTCATTTCGTTATTGATAAACGAATGAAACCAAATTTACTTGTTGCTCTATACAATAAAACTACTATAAATGTTGCTTTTATTAGCACCATAGTTCGTACAGTGCTGTTTTTTCACAGAAAAAAATTAGTGCTCGAAAACAATTCTAGATCTTAACATTGAATGGTTTCTTTAATACTAGTTTAAAAGTAGAGTAAAAGTCAAACTTGGATCGCAACATTTTAACATTATATGGTTTCTGAAGCCATAATTTCGATCTCCTAACTGTTGCATGTATGTATATACTATACCGCGAACGGGCTCAGGCCTATCGGCGACGTCCCTGCCTAGCGGCCATGGGTTAAGGCGCTGCGTGTGGTTAGCACATAGACATCCCCATGCCGTATTCTGATCTTCTCAGCCTGAGATGTAAATTTTCTCATCGTTCTACAGAACCATACACTGGGGCATTGTAAGGAAAAATCACACTATAATCTTGCCTCACCGGGAATCGAACCCGTAATGGAAAGCGAGGACGCTGACCAACAGCTAGCCACGAGGATCTCCTAGCTGTTGCTATTAATAAAGTTTATAATTGATTTTGGAAAAAATACCCTAAATATGGTACATTCAACCTTTTACAGAAAAGTACCTTCTAGAAATTATTTCAATTCTTTCTATTGCTATCTCATTAGAACGAGCCGAACAACCATCTCAACATAAAATTACTTTTCAATGCAAAATTTCAATCCCCTAGTTCTTACTGTAAGAATTAAGTGTAAAATTGCTGGGTTTTGCAAAAAGCTCTAAATAGTTTTTTTAACACACTTTTACACAAAAGTACTTTAAGAAACTCATTAGAAAGAAATCATTCTGAATACCTTAAACGAATGGATTGGTTTCCTAACGCTGGCTTACATTGGTGTAACATCGGGTCAAATTTTGGGTAAGCTAGACATAATTTCATTCTATTACATATGCACGGAAAGACTTCTTTCAAAGTTCTCATTCTATGTATTATTATTATTATTATTATTATTATTATTATTATTATTATTATTATTATTAATGGAGGACTTAGTTAAGCAGTGAGCGTCAAGTTGACAATTAAACACAGTTCTTTGAAACTTGATCAAGACCCGATCCATCTGTTCAACATCATTGCAACCGAGAATAACAACAACAAACAACAATAATAAATAATATATAATATAATAATAATATAATAATATAATAATTAATAAAATAATATAATATAATAATAATAATAATAATAAATTAATTCCGCCCGCGGCGCAGACGGTTGCGCAGAAGTCGTCTGCACTGCAGGAGAGCTGGCAGTTTCCAAATCCTGCGTAGACATTGGTTTGTATTAGTGATGTGTCCCTTCACTCCCCCTCATCATCATTCTATCATCATCGAGATTCACCACTTCAAGGCCGTACAAAACCTTGTCGTAATAAAGGGATGCAAGTTGAAATAGCTGATCGTTGGATAGAAGATTAACACGTTAAATCGTGTAGCTGTGAGTAATGGCCAATAAATAGGCACACGCCAATAATTATTAATAATAATAATAATAATAATAATAATAATAATAACAATAATATCAACTCCACCTAGGGAGCACACACACTTGTAGTTGATGGTGGAGCTTGGGTATCCACATGAACCTGAAAGCTACGTCGGTGTAGCCTAGCTACTCGTAGGGCCTCCCTTGCTGAATAGGTTGTTGGTGTGGAGTCAAAAAAAGAAGTACTCCAGAGGAGAGCCTCACCGGCATCTCCGAAGACGAAAGGAGAAGATGGTAGAAGAAGCACCTCGAACACATAACCGCAGTGTCTGATCCGCATCCAGCGGCTGTAAACAGCGTCTTTCTTCATGTTAGGAGCGGCTGCATCCACAATGGTAAGAAAGTTGAGAGGGAAGGGTCATGAACCTTTGGTCTTCCTGCTATCGTCCCCTAGTGAGCACAGGAGAGAAACTGGGTTGGCACACAGGCCACTGATTGGAGTGAAGACTAGAACTTTGCACTGGCCAGCGAAGGACGCTGGCGATCGGAGGGAACTTTGCTG